TTTTTTTCGATCAGTTCGAAATGGCCGACTGGCGGCCATTTTGTTAAAGAATTCAGTTCTGGATCCGTATCCAAGACATGTCTGGATTGATCAAGTTCAAACTTCACACACACATGGTACATCATGTCACAAATAGATATGTGCATTTGTTTCATGATCTGCTTAACAATAGTGGAATGATGGCCATTTTAAGGCCGAAAATGCATCAAAATCACGTATTTTCACAATTCCAGAACCGGATCTCAGTCATGCATGGATGGATTTTGTTCAGATTTAGTACAATGTGTTGTACATATGCAGGTGCATTTTGGTCATGATCTGCTTTGAATGTATATGTCACTCAAATATGAACGGAACGGGGACGTGTCATTAATAATAATAATAACTCTATTTAATTAAGCGCAACAATTCCAACATATGAAGATCAAAGGCGCTGATACAATAAACAATCAGTCAAATATTAAAAGCACATTTAAATAAGTGCGTTTTCAGTCTGGATTTAAAAATGTCTACTGAAGGACTAGAACGAACAGACAGAGGTAATTCATTAAAAAGTTTAGGACCTAAATTTTCAAAAGCACGGTCTTTGTATAACACCTTGGACTTTTTACTACACATCTGACGAGTTTTAATAAGAAACTTCGATTCAGATCTTAAACTACGACTCGGTACATAAAATTCGATTAATTCACATAGATAATTTGGGGCAAAACCATACAAAGATTTATACACTAGTAAAAGTAATTTGAAATTGATTCTTTGTACAACTGGTAACCAATGAAGTTTAATAAAAATGTCTGTAATGTGGTCATATTTTCGAGCACGAGTGACAAGGCGGGCTGCTGCATTTTGTACACGAATAAGAGGTTTTATCTTAGTTACAGGGAGACCAGACAATAATGAATTACAGCTGTCTAAGCGAGAAGATATGAAAGCATGTACCAACTTTTCAGTATCAGATTGGGATAATGATTTACGAATACGATTAATATTTCTTAGATGGGAATATCCAGATCTACAAATAGTAGAAATGTGTGTTTCCATAGATAGCTGCGAATCAAACAAGACACCTAAGTTTCTAGCACTTGACGAAGCACTAACTTGACGAAGCACTAACCAATTC